CTGAGAAGCTTTTACACCTTTCTGGTTTTCTGCCCATGGATCTCTGACTGTTAAGGACCCATACAGCATTGTCAAAAGTGCTGCAAAACTTTGTATCAAAAACTTAGTTAAAACTAATGCCATAAGCCAAACTTTCCTGATTAACATTTTGATGGTATATAATAACTTCAGCATGTTCCTTCTCTTTCTAGCAACATATTTATTGCCTTGTACTGAGACAAGCACATGTACATCCAGATGTACATTGACACCAAGTACACTAACAGCAACGACTTCACCACAACAGCTGAATGCACTACTGCAAAAGAAATTGTTTTAAGAGAAATGTGTGATAAAGTCCAGGTTGATACAAACATCCAGGAAGCTTAGAATTCCACCACCATGTTCATCAACATTGTGAAATGTTTACTTTCTGCCTCATAAAAGGAAATAACCCAGAGGAGAATTGACTTCAGGTCCTAATCCTAGTCGAGGTTCTACAATGAACACCCAGAATATATGCCTGTCTTATTCTTACTCTCTTCCTCATGCAGTGGAGATGCAGTACCGTCTGATCTCATGCAGCCGTTGTTATGTTCATATAACTTGAGTCTTCAAATGGTTGCACTACTAAAAAACCCCACCAAATAATTGCAGAGAATTTAACAGCAGTGAAGTCAATGGTTTTTCTCACATGAAAAGCAGAGAAGATTTCCAAAAGGCCTCCTTACAGATAGCATCTCCATGCAGTATGGAGCAAGATGAGCAAACCTTAAGCATCTTACCACAGTGTTCTCAGGATTTATGACACAGGCTTGGTCCAGTACATTAAGGCAATAGTGAAGATGCACTTATGGTGTATAAAACTGCCTTACCTCTGTTTAGTTCTTTGCTATACAGAAAAAGGAGTAAGGCAAACCTAATGGTTTGCAATGGTACAACTAGAGCCGTGGTACGGTGGTACTAGTATGATTACATAAACTGGAAAAAAAAAAAAAATCACACCCATAGCTCATATAGCTGCTGGTAAAGACCTATCTTTAAGTAAAACTTCACAAAGTTAGAAGCAAGATTGGATGGCTATGAAAAAAAGAGTTAACAAAGCACATCAAGAAATGAAAATAGCTGGAAATGAAAGCTATTATGAAAATGTACTTGTTAAATGGCTCTCACATGTCAGAAAGTAAATTCTGCACAACCCTGGCGTGCTACCAGAGTGCATGGCCATACCAGTGATTTGAATTTTTAGATAGCATCAGTGAAGCTGGCTGTCACACCTGAGCATGAAAGATAACATCAATAAGCTTATGGCAGAAAACATGAAGATACGGATGGGACCAAACTGCGCCATGCAAACATAAATGGTTCAGACCAATGAAAGGACTGTGTGCTTTTAGACTAGCTGTCCACTTTTTCTGGTTATATCAACTCGTCTAATAATAAATACTCATTTCCAGAGGCACTTAGGTTCTCCTATATCCTGTAAGTATCACAGCTAGAAGACTACCACAGAAGACTGTTAAAAATTCTACCTTCTGCATTCTGACCAAGAGCACAAAGATTACTAAAAGTAACAATTTCACTTCAAATAAGCTCAGAAGTCAAGGTTATTTCTGGATTTCAGAAAATCTTCTGTATGGCTAGTATATTATTTCTGACACAACTTGGAAAAGAGAGCAGCAGAAAACAAAATATGTGAAAAACTACAGACCTGGCATGGAGCACTCAGTTTCCAGCCAGCTCTGAGATCAAAGGGCCAAGTTTTACAGCTACTAGGAGAATCAGTGGGAAGCAGAAAGTGGAGCTGCACCTACTATGCAAACTGTGTAACTATCTTGAATGGTTCTGCTGCCCTGGAAAAGAGGAAAGGCAGAAATAGGGCAGCCAATCATGCAGGGATTTATTTCAAGATGTGACATCATCTCTGCCTTCAGAGATTTCCTCTGAACCTTGAACAATGTCATCTCCTTCGGGTTACCCTCTTCATGACATTAGAGCAGCCCACAGCTTTCAGACTGGCAGAGTTATGCGAAATGTAATGAGTGGTAAACTAGATTCTACTGGTAAACTAGATTCCACTGGTTAAACAGAATGAACCTCTCCCTCTGTACCCAGTTGGGCTTTCTGAAGTGGGACTGAAAACCACACAAAAAAGCCAACGACTGACAACTAAAGCTATTAGTCTAATGACATATGAAAATAGCTATTTTGAGGTGTTGCTTTTGCATCCGCCATTTTCAAATTAGAAAAATGTTAACTGCATCCAAAGAACATGATGGACAGAATGTAACAGAGAGCAAATAAATGCTACAAGCAAAATGAAATGGGAAAATGCAAGATCTTTCTTTAATGGCAATATACCAGAAGGAGGCTGTGACAGCTTTCAAATGCTCTGGAGGTTTTATACGTTCATCACCACCATACCTGCTCCATTACATTTTGTTCAAGGATTATCGGCATATATCTAAAATGGGAATGGGGCAAGAAAATGACAAGCATATATCACTCCTCTTCTTCATCTATATGTTGGCTAGGTGTTTGGATCCAGAAGTTTCAGCTGACTATTCACCACTTAAAGCTATCCTCAGTTACTGTTCTGAATTGTATTGTATCCGTGAAAAAAAGATGCACAATAATAATAACAAGGATGACTACAGCCCTTCCACCTTCAAAGTACTTTTGAGGTAGTTGGATTAACAGTAAACTGCTAGACCAAAGAGAGATAATTCTTCTACTGGTATGATTTAAACACTGAGCGTGTTTGCCAGAAATGCATGGGAATTATATCCTGAGCAGCAGCCACTGTTTCTTTACACAACTCACATGGAATAAATTACTTTTTAACATGCAGAGGAAAAAATTTTCTATTTAAAGCATATACTTTTGTGTTCAGTTATTTACCTACTACTAATGGGACTCAGTGTCACCCATAAAATCATTATTTTATGGTAAGTTGAAGCGCATTACAACATTATTTTACTAAACTGTATTCAGTGCACTGTAGATCTTCCACTGCCTGTTTTTCAGGAAATTTTAGTGAAGCCTTCAACCTTAGTTAGTTACATATTGATAGCCACAAAGTGCTGAAACACCTTTTTGTGTATCTGCATTCAATTTCTATTTGGCAGAAAGTAAAATGATTTTGTCCACAGTCCAGCAGTAATCTATGCTTATCCACTTCTCATTATAGATTGGAAGAAGTTCTGGTACAGTGATGGTTCTAGCAATTGTGTTATATACTGGAAAACGCTTTTTGTTAATACCTTGATTTGATATAAATGATGCACGTGCAGTACCTGAACCGCATATGCTTCCACAAAACTGAAACTGAACTCAAATGACTTATCTTAGGCTGGAGCCCACTGGGAGCATTGGCACCCGAAACATAAGACCACCTCTGGTACAGTATACATACCGCTGCCCTCTCCTGGAGGGCCTTTCCCGCAGCCCATTTCCTGGACCAACCTTTCCCCTGGAGGTGGCGATCATCTGACAGCAAGCTTCAGCAGGTTTAGGTCTAAATCATATAGGGTCTGTCATTAACCCTTAGTATTCTTACAGAGAGTGGAGACTTTCCAGTTAAGTCAATACGCAGGGGAGTTTGTGCTTCGTAACTGACAGTCCTGAATTAAATTAATTAGTTTGATCTACCTGCTGTAGCTGTAAATAGCATAGGACTCATCTTTGTCCTGACAGTCTTCACATAAAAAACTGATGCTGAGATTATTCCCTAAAGGAGGAATTAAGATAAGAAAGTATTGTCTCCTTAGGCTCCTCTGTACTCAGGGGAGAAACAACCTTCACTCACAGAAGCTTTTCATTCAGCAATATCAGAAACTTCTTACTGTCATACTGTTTCCCCTTAAGCATATTCATAGGAAATATAATTAAAATATCTTATACAGTGATGAGAATCCTACATGAAAATTTTAAGTAATGCAGAGAATAGTTATTTGTGTTTTAGTAAAGATAGTAGGAGCCATTTGGCAAAAAAACATCGAGCACGTTGTGATTCGAATCAAGATTTCAAGAGCTGATACTACTTTTCTTTCAAGGTAACTGCAATACACTCTTCACAATTGTTGCAGGTTTGCAGTGTTACACATAGTGTGCTAAGAGACTCTCAATTTAAAAATGACAGTAAACCCAATAAAGTGAAATAATTTTTAATTCCCTTTTTAAATGTGCATTTGAACTCAATACAGATCTGTAAGGCACTCTCACAGGTAAAAAAAAAAATTAAACATTCTTTCCACAATAAGGACGGTAATGAGGCAACAGGATGTGCATAAAATATAACCTTATCTGTAACTGATAAACAATGAAATATGAATGTTCAGGGTTTGGATGCATTGCAATGTAATGTCATTTCTGTATCATGACACTACTCAGAATAGATATTGGCACTGTAAATGATTTCTCATTGGGGTTAGGGCTTCTATTCTCTTCATATCCCAGTAAAAAATAAACTCTTTAATAAATAAATATATAAAATAAATATATGCTATCTGGAGATGTATAAATAGGTCCATCCTGAAGAAAAGATCCAGCTCTGACTATGATGCATCAACATCTAAGGTCCATCACTGAAGTGGAGCCACTAAAACTTCATATACAGTTCGCAGGATTTATTATTATTTTACAGTCTATTTCTTTCTATTTCTTCCAGCTGTCGTCTCATCCACATGACATAGGTAGTTCTTTGCTAATTTATGGACCATAAGTAATCCAGACAAAATTGCCAAGAGTTTGTTAGTTTTAAAAAAGTCACACTCCAACTTCCCTCTGGTTGCTGGCTGCCAAAGAGTTCAGCAAGCTTGAAGGAGGCTGGTCCACTCCCAGCTTTCAGGCTTTGTCTCCTAAATCCAAAGGTTAGAAAACAGAGGCTTGCCTATCACAAAGTAGGTTCTTCCAACCCAGCATCCTAGACCTCTGCAGGTTCCTCATGCTGGTATTGCCATGGAAGCAGGGGCAAGATCAAACAGCTCCAGTATGGGTTTTTTCCAAAGTTGCCTCCTTCCTCAGCTGTATCCTAACACATCTTTGTACAGTTCTGGAACTCTTTCGGGATCCACGGGCCGGGGCAAGAAATGTGTGAATTTCTGGTGTCTTTTGGACCTTGCCCCATCTCTGGGAGTACCATCTTTGTTAAGTGCTACAAAGTATCGCCGCCCCGAATCTCCATGTTTGTACACATTGGATGAGTAAGTGTTGTACCAGTTTTCCTCAAACTGTTCCCTGAAGATGCATTCAGAAGTTAGTTTCTCCTACAGAAAGAAACCGTGAAGAAAAATAAGTCAAGCTGTTGCTAGATATCTGAACACACATGAAAAAAATGTGATAAAAGTAAAAAAAATGTTGTAGGCTTTGTGCTGCCTTACTGTTCATTTAACTGTTAACGAATCAAACCCAAGAAGAGTATGTAGACCTGACACTGAGTTTGGAAGCCTAATTTATTCTTTATTCTTTTGAAAACTGGAGCTGTACATACACAATTTTGGCTCTAAACATGAGTTAGATAATTCTCTCTCTAAGGCAGCATTACTCATTTATGATTTAACAAAAATTCACCTGACCTACAGGAACTATATTATGTAAAGTTCTGTCTTAGGGTATCCACCATCCTAGAAATGAGATTTGGTAGAGGGACACAGGTGCAGTATAACACATCAGGAAGGTACTTCCGTATGTTCTTTGTGGTATGCATCACTTCTCACATTTTATCAAAGATTGTATTTTACAGTCGTGTTGAAGTTATTCAACAGATAGAAATTAACTGTAATGAATACAAGTTTATTCTCATTCTTAAATGCAAACATTCAAGTGTCAGGATCTACAGGTACTGCCACTACTCTTGCACCACTCAGATTTTTCAAATAACAGTGGTACCTAACAGTGACCTATGGTACTATCCTCTTTTTCCCAGCATTTGAAAGAACGCTTTTATGTTAAAAAGCTGGTACTTGGAAGTACTGCCTCCTAATTTGTAAAGGAGCACTAGGCTACACATAAAGTAAGCCAGGGTACTATATTAATTGTTGTTTATTTGTTCCATAACTATCCTTTTAACTTTTTTCCCAATTGCATTCAATGTTTTCGATAATAGTGTATACTATGATACATTTGCAGTATTGATAAAAATAAAGTTAGATACTAGGCAACTTAAATGCTTTTTGAATAGATAGTTTAATTGAGCTGGTTTTGTCATAATTTAAGAGGAATATTTCTTTTCACTTCTCTTCATCTAGGACAGAGAAACTTTTCCCATCAAATCTTTAGTACTCAAGGCTACACCGAATACTTTAAGAATATATTATACATTTCAACAGGAAAAGATGTTCGTGTTTTGAAAGCTAAGACTACCTTAGCTAGCTACTTGAGGGGTTTGCATAGTGCTAAGAAGTGAATCAACACCTCAACATGTTTGAGCTGACATGAAAGTAGTACTTACAGAGCCATAGAGTTCTCCCTTCTCATTCATTCCAAGGTAAAGGCCGCTGTCCACGCCTCTAATACTGACCAGTCCCACTGCCACACTGATGAATTCAAGGATACCTGAACATATATCCAAAGAGAGAAGAAAAAAAAAAAAAAGAGAGAGATTGCTTTAAATCAACTTGTAACAAAAATCAATAAAAACATCTAAAATGTAGTTGAAAGCAAGTGGAAAATGTACATATTATAATAAATCTGGTCTACTTCTTTCCTGAAATTTCAAATATTGCATGGAAATGTATACAACATTCACAGGAAAGCAGTCTGAAAAGCCCCATCTAGGAACAAGAATCCTACACCATTTAAGAAACCTTTTTTTTTTTTTTATGTTGAATATGAAAGGATTTTATTCAGTGCTGAGGCTAAAGCTTTCAGTACTATGCAGTTGCAATCTATAATGATTATACACTATTTGCTAAACTGCCTACTCAAACATTGGAAGATAGGTTTGAATTACCTGAAAATATACTTTACTTTCTCTATAGCATTATCTTAAAAAAACACATCCATTATTAGATCATTTGAATGGAAATCAAAGTACAGATGGGAATTTTATATAACAGAATCTACCCACACAAAAAAAAAAGGGATTTGCCAGACATCTTATCTAGCATATGGGCCCACACCTCTTGACACAACTTGCTATCTTCAGTGCAGGCTTTTTATGTGCATGAAATATGCTGCTTATTTGCTAATGTTTGGATTATAGTATTATTTATATTACATTTGCCCAAAAATGTAATATATATTAATAATATAAAGTATTCAGGAGATGAGGCACTATTTGAAGCCTGCAATTTGGCAAGGGTATGCCAACATATTTAACCAATTGATATGCACAGATTACAGTACATATAAAACATGAAAGAAAGGGAATGTGTGAACTGGCTTTTTGGAAGTTGTTAACAATGTAAACAAAGCCTCAAAAAGAAATTGTTGTAGAATCATACCTAAGATTTTGCTGTGCAGCAGCAAAACCTCAAAACATTAAAAAAAATCTGAATCTAAGGTAAGTGGTTTTAAATAGTGCATTTGATTTTGATTAAGACTTTTTCGTCTATTTGCTGTATTTATGATTACTCTTTTTCATTCAGGACCATTTTTCACTCTCAGACAGATGGACTGTCTGGACTATACAATAATTTAAAATGTTTTGAATTTTAATTGAGCTTTGGCAGGTTTCTTATTTATATTACCAAGTAGCAAAGAAAATAAATTCTTTACAAAGAATAAGCATTAAAAACCCTTACTGCATGTAAATCATCCTAGTTTTCCAGTTCCTAAAGCACAAAGTCCCATAAAAAGAGGTGGAGGTATTTTGTCTTTCTGGTATCATTTTCAAAGTCACCCTTTTTCAAAACTATAATAAGCAGGTGATTCAACCCACAAAGCAACCACATCAGACAAACCTGCCGAGAATAGTGGTAGAATAAAGGAAGAACATTTCTAAAAAGCCCAGTCAATGTTTGATCTGGCGCTAACTTTTTTTTTCTTTTCAAGCAAAGATTTATTTCATGTTTACACGCTGTAGGAAATCTTCCTTCTGAGAACTGTCTGTGTGACTACTGCTCTTTTACTTCTGAAAACATCCATGTGTTATAAAAGCAATTAAGAGCCATTCCAGCAGATTGTTTTGACTATGGGGAGGATGATAGGAAACTCTTTAATCACCTTTTTACGACTGCTGAATCAATACACACAAACACTGAAATGTAGCTGACAACGGCAGGTTTGTTCAGATGTCCAGTTCCTACAACTACTATTTAGGATTTACACTTGTATCACAGGAAACATTTAAATTTTTGGGTTGTCTTCACCTCCTTTTGGTTTATTGACCAGAGAAAGTACTGGGAAGCATTTTAAGTACTTGAGCAAAGAGGCATTTTAGGCCCCTATGCTTCGACTTTCTGTCCTGCAAAATAAAGCAGTCTAATGCAGCCTAAGGGTCAGCATGCCCGAGCCCATGATCTATATTATTCTGCAAAGACTCAGGAAGCTCCGATACAGATAGCGAATACAAAAAGAATCAGTCTGACTTTTCACCTTTCCCACTAAACCCGCAGGCGTATGCATGCGCTTACAGACATCCAGCATAGGCTGAGCGAGGCACACCTGCACGTCTCTTGGCTTGCATGGGATGCGCGGCCTTCCTTCACTACCTTGCCCTGATGCCCTAGTGCAGCCCCCGTGGCTTAATGCTGAAGGGGGGGAAGCTCATCCACCTGCCCCAGCACCACACCTCCCTCCCAGGAGTACGGCTGCTCACGCGCGGGCACACACACACGCACTTAGGTACACACATGCACAGACAGACGTGCGCACACACATACACCCAAACACGCGTACACGCACACACGTGCGGGTGTGCACACGTGTGAGCGCACCCACGCACAGGCAGCACACGCACACGCCCGCGGGCAGAGCGCGGCCG